CAATGGCTAGAAAGGGCTGGCCTACAGGACAGCACAGAGGCACTCATCATGGCTGCACAGGAACAGGCCCTGAGCACCAGAGCGATAGAGGCCCAGATATACCACACCAGACAAGACCCAAGGTGTCGGTTGTGCAAAGAGGCAAAAAACGCCATAACCAAGTGGCTGGCATAGTGTACAGAAACATCTGTGCAGAGTATGGGCTGGAAACTCCAAGGTCTAAGTGGGAAACTCCTCCAAAGGTGGTGGAGAATGAGTGTGCAAAGATCCTGTGGGACTTCCAGATACAGACCGACCGAATGGTAATGGCGAACCAACCTGACATCGTGGTGGTGGACAAAGGGCAGAGGACAGCCGTGGTGGTGGACGTGGAAATTCCAAGCGATGGTAACATCAGGAAAAAGGAACATGAAAAGCTTGAGAAATACCAAGGTCTCAGATAGGAGCTGGAGAGAGCCTGGAGGGTAAAGGTGACAGTAGTGCCCGTGGTGATCGGTGCACTCGGGGCAGTGACCCCGAAGCTAGAAGAGTGGTTACAGCGGATCCCTGGAACAACCTCGGACATCTCGGTCCAGAAATGTGCAGTGCTAGGAGCAGCAAAGATACTGCGCAGAACCCTCAAGCTCCCAGGCCTCTGGTAGAGGACCCGAGCTTAGAGAGGGATAACCGCCCGCGGTGAGTGGACAATTTATATATATATATATATATATATATATATATATATGATTTGCTCCCGTAGCCATAGAACAAATCAGACTTTGTATGTGTAAACAGGAGCACATGTATAAACTGTGTGCCCATATATACATTCTCCATTGCATGACCATGTGGCTAATCACAATTTTACAAACAACTATTGATGGTACATGTGTTGAGATGATGTGGAGCGATTACCAGACAAATCGGTGAGACCGGACGTTTCACCGATTTGGCTGGTTTGATGTTCGTGCAATGTGTACATTTGCCATTGACACAGAATGGGGAGCGTTTGACGTTGCCACTGCAATAGAATAAAAAATAAGTTTTGGGTCTCATTGACTTTTTGAATCAAGAGGACAAAGCAGAATTATGTGTAAAATTTCAAACTTTTGAAATAAACTAAATGTAATTATCCCCATCTAAAACTTTGACATAGTCTGTAGGGGGCACTAATAGGCAGATTTGAACTATTTCACTTTCAAATAACCTAGACCCTAGAGTTGAACAATGGATTAAAATTTTGTGCAAATCGGACTTTGTAGGTGCAAACTGTTTGTCAGGGGGCTTCCTGTTTGTCAGGGGGAGTGGCCATGATACATTTTTTTCATGTCTTGAGTTGAGGAGCATGTGGACCGAATGTTGTGACTCTATGACAAACTTGACCTCTGATCCTCTCCCCTAGGCGCAATGTAAACTGACTTTTGTAGGGTGCGATGTTGCTGCATTTTTTTGTCCCACAAAACTAAACATGAAAACAATTTTTTTTTGCTGGTTCTGAATGTTGGGCGTAATTTGGCAAGTTTTCATTCATGTTCAGGGGGTCAAATTAACTTTTTGAATCAAGAGGGCAGAAAAGAATTATGTGTAGAATTTCAAACATTTTAAATTAACTAAATGTGATTATCCCCCTGTGAAACTTTGACATAGTCTGTAGGGGTCACTAACATGCCAATTTCAATTATTTTACTTTCAAATGACCCTAGGAGTGGAACAATGGATTAAACTGTTGTACGAATCAGACGTTGTATGTGCAAACGGGAGCTAACTTTCTATTGTCAAAAATGGGGAAAAAGAAGTTACATTTTGCCGCTCCGCTGCCCGAACAACGTTTAAATGATCAAAATTTCACGACATCAAAATGATGGTACATGTGTTTAGACAACGTGGAGCGATTTTACGGCAAATCGGTGAAACGGCCGAGGAGGAGATAATTTCCAACCAATATAATTTTTCATTTTTCCATTTTGAAATGGAATTTTTGGGCTTCCTGTTTATCAGGGGGTGTAGCCATTTTAACTTTTTTCTCATGTCTTGATTTGTGGAACATGTGTATCCAATTTTGTGGCTCTACGACAAACTTGAATGTGGACCCTCTCCCATAAGCGCAATGTAATGCCAAGCAAAAACAATATAGGTTTCAATGGCACATGATACATCATTTTAAAGCGTTTGAGTATACGCACAAAACCGTCACGTTTTGGTGAGTGACGGGCACTGATGCGTCCAATCCAATCCACTTTATATAGTTAGCACATTTCATAAACCAGCAGTTTCCAAAGTGCTGTACAACAAGCAAAAAATGGAAACAAATAAATACACAAATCAAATAAAAAATAGAAATAAAAACAAAACACAGAGGACCTGCCTTGAGTGCCTTGTGTGAACTACCGGAGTTGAGTGTGTTACAGTTGTCCAGATGTGAAGAAATAAAAGCGTGCATAACATGTTCAAAAAGATTACAAGATAAAAAAGGTTTAACTTTGGATAAAAGCTGCAGATGAGCTCTTCTTCCGCCTCGGTCGAGCACAGTCTTCAGACCGCTCCTGCTTCTGACTGCTTGCTCTTTCTTGTTTTTGTCTTTTTCCTGGAGTTTTGCCACAGACAACTCTAACAAGAATTATGGATATCATTAACTGGTCCCTCAACGCAATTGACACTATTTTTTCAACACGTAAGCGAGGACCGGGGGAGCCCTCGTGCTCAGACCGGACGGCACCTGCGGGGTATACTCTTGACAGCTGGAACAAGTGGAAGCCCCTTTGCCTGTCGGTCCTGTCTATTGAAGATTCGGAAGACGTATATATCTTTGGAATTCTGGTGGTGGGGATCCTCCTTTTCGGGTTTTGAGCTGTCCTTTTCTACCGCAAATTTGGAGGGATGGCAGTCCATAACATTCACAACCTGTTGTCCAACAAAATTGATGGGATGTACAAGGAGTTGAGCCGTGTCGTGGTTGAGAGTGCCGTGACTGGACAGAGGAGAGTTGTGCTAGTTGCGCAGTTGCTTAAAGACCTCGCAACACGCTTGGCTGAATGACATTGTCTGCCAGGCTTGAACTCTCTGACCCGGCATGGATAAGCCCCTGTGTACGGAGGTTCTGAGGGCGCCGCAATTCGGCTTAATTGGATTTATAGTATATCTGCCTTGCTTTTGACCGCTACATTGCATATAAATTGTCCCTCTCAAGGCGATGTGTTTTCCGTTTTGCTGTGGCTGTCTCTACTCTTATCTCACATTCCTCCTGGCCAAGGCCAAAGATAACCAGATCCATTCTACAACAAAACTTCACTTGCAGCAGCCTCCAGCTACGGATCCCCCCCTCCCCGTTATCCCCCTACCTCCCCCTTCTCCTCTCCCTCCCTCCCTCTCACTCCTCCTTGTCTTTCCGGCTTACCCCCTCCCTGTCCCCGCCCCCTCTGACAGCCACACTAGGCGGTCGGAGGTGCTCATCCCAAGAAAAAACTCTGTTTTACACAAAGCACACTGTGGCTATCAAACTGTCTGTGAAACTGTGTGCTATTGCTCTCTGCTGTTACTACTGTTTGTCGCATGGCGCCGTAAAGATGGCGCCGTGGCAAGTCTTGCACAGTTTTTGCCAATGTGGTTTTACTGCAAATGGCAAATAAATGAATCTGATCTAAATCTGAGATGATAAAAACTTGATTTTAAAATGCTGTTGACTTGCTTATCAAATTTAAAATCACTCTCTATGGTATAATGCGTAAGGATCAGTCCCACATCAACTGAACAGTTACGCCTTGGAATTCTTCCTGATGGCACATTACTTCAGCAATTTGCAGATGTGTTTTGCCCTTCAGGACAACTACAATTCGGAATTGCCATGGGGTGTGCCATCTCCCCAATCCTGTTTGTTGCAGCCTTTGAAAAACTAAGCATTGGAGCAAGGCAGACGGCAGGACTCTGAGAAGCTACGTGGGCGATGTCACTACCCTCCTACAGACACCGTCTTGCACTTCTCGGCTGCTGAAGAGGCTAGATGAGTTGATGTCATGGGTCAGGATGAAAATTAAGCCGTACACGTCACGTAGGAGGCAGTACTCTAGAGAGCTGTCCGACAAACAGATGGGAAGATCCGTCATGAAACAGCACATGACGGAATGGTATGATGGTCACATCATACCATTCATAAAATCTAGAGTTTGGTTTCAAGGTTTCTCTTTCAAAAAACTGGTAGGCATATCTATTTGTTTCAGTGGAAATGAGGCTCCAGAATTCATCAGTGAGAAACAGAGATATGAAATCAATGGGGTCAGAATTTGTCATATTATCACCACAATAACCAACAGGCTCTTCAAAATTTCGGATCCACTTTTGATTATCTTCCTCTACTCTCAAGAACTGCCAGCCATCCTCATCATTTTCACCACCGCAGGACTGGGAGGGAGCGCCATTAGCGGTGTTTTTTTCCCCACGGCTCCTCCCGCGGCTTCTCCCGCGACTACCACGACAACCGCGGTTGTTTCCACTCTCCCCATCCCCACTACATTCACCCATGCCCCCACGACCACGTCCCCTGCTCAGTGTACTGTCCTCTACACTTCTCCATAGACTACACAGGGAGAGCATCAGAAGCCGCGGACCTGCGTGCACGGCCAGTGTACATACAGCCACTTATTGTTACGCGCATATGCGCACAGTCAACGTGTACGCGCTGTTAACGCCTACAGTGTAAATTCCCTGTCTTAATTTTAATGTGATTCCCTGGAGGCTTGCACTGCTCTGTGACATTAGAAGACTTAATTTGAAAGTCTGAAAGATCCACCTGCAGGAGGATCAGTGAATTGGGTGCAGCTCTGACTGCCAACCCCCCAACCCAGAAATTGATTAAAAGGAAGAAATTGGATGGATTTGAAAGTCTGAAAGTCTTTATTTTAACCCTCTTTGAGTGACGCATTCCTGTCTTCTCTGAGCTGAAATGCAGATACAGGACTAAACAACACGGCAACCTTTCCCGCTGTTGTCCCGAGTCAACACGCTATGTGTAGAATAGCAAGACTGGAATGCTGGTACATTTTATTCAACTAAAATTAAATCAATAATAAAAAAAAAAGATCCATTCATTTCTTCTGACAAAACATGTGTTCCCTGATCAACCTAAAACAACAGTTGTTGACTCACCATCAAAGGTAATTGGCCTCTTTTGTGGAAGTGTTTCCTCAGACAGAACACATTGATTTTTAGTGGTGAATTTTTTTGTTTTAGACAAACTGCCCTCAAGTATGTGTCCAGTACAAATACAAATTCTTGTATACTATCTCGCAATACAGGGTTTATTGTTGTGTACCTAAATAGATCTCAGTCAGCTATTCTTAGACCATGTATTCACGCAAATAGAAAAGAAAGATAATGCTTTATGCTACGGTTTTCCAACAAAATCGGTAGGTAGTGATTTTTTGTAGTGTGTTATGTAGTCTAACTAATTACAGTAGAATAAGTTCAAGAATACACTAACACCATCCATCCATCCATCCATTTTCTTCCGCTTCATCCGTTGCCGGGTTGGGGGGGCAGCAGTCTAAGCAGAGACGCCCAGACTTACCTATCCACACACACTTCCTCCAGCTCATTCCTCGTTCCCTGGCCAGCTGAGAGACATAGTCCCTCCAGCGTGTCCTGGGTCTTCCCCGGGGTCTCCTCCCGACCAACACAACACCATATTGATAATTATGAATTTTATTGGATGTTTGCTTCCTCTGCTCTTGTTTGTAGTACCGCTCAAGTCCTGCAGGCGGAAGTAGCGAGACGGGCTCTCCTGGTCGTTCTTCTTCTTCACAAAGACGCTCGTGGCAGGACCTCATTGAGACACCATTGACTGAAGCTGGACTTCACTATCTGCAGACTGGACCTTTGGGTAAATCACATGCATTATGTTGATGTTAAGATGCTTGTTTTATTGACATAAATACTTCAACAATGTCAATGTCATAATGATTTATTACTTCAACAATGTCAATGTCTAATATGTCAATGTCATATATATTTAATTCTTCAACAATGTCAATGGTATATTTATTTCTGGGATTTGGTTTTTCAACAAGCCTGAATCACAGAGCATGAAAATCAACACTATCATTGAAAGAGCATTTTTTGGAGCATTCCTCTTGGAGATGGATGAACATAGCGGGAGATTATAGTTTAAGGTCAGGTTTCTGAGAGTTTTTTGTTTTGTTCAGTGCAATCATAAACAACACAAATGAGGAAACATGTTTTGATAATTGTCATTTGCAACTTACAAGTGTCAATTTGCACTTTCAAATGATAACTATTCTCAAATGTTCTTTAATATTCATGCATTAAGGTAGGCTTGTCAAACTGCCGACGTTGAAACAACGTCATTTGGACGTCATTGCCCGACGTAGAATTTAGGTCGCTTGTGGGTGCAGAATGAAAGTTTTCATTTCACATCCTTTCAGAAAACGTTGAAAAGCACTATTACCCATGACACTGGAACGTAAGTTAATATTATTCATTCTAGCACACGGCCTAATATTGGTACATATATTTTTGAAAGCTTTCCCCCCATTTCTCTGGTGCCGCATGTAACTTTTCCTGTACGATTTATTACCCCTTTGCATTTGATGGCCTCATGTTGATCAAAAACAAACTGGAGGTGTAATTATTTGACCTTTAGATCATTCTTTCCTAAATGTCCTTGTCTCATCTCTTGTCCAGAGGATGCGGTGTTCGCAGAGCCCGGTCTTGGGGGCGGGTCCATGATGATGCTGTCTGGAGGGGTCTACACGCTGCCCGCTCAGCGGAATGTCCCGTTACCCATGGCGATGCACAGGCTTGTCCCCATGGCAACGCAGGGGGGTAAGCCGCGAAGCTTCACCCTGCCCCGCGACAGCAACTTGCACTCGCTTCTGGCTCTGCCCCCCAGAGGCGACCCTCATGCACACAACGGTGAGAGCTCAGAATGCATTCATTTTCAAATAAGTTACATCCAGGGTTCACTGTTCAAATAACTTTATATCAATAATGACTTTTCAATTTTTCAAAAGCACAAAATTTCTTTTGTAAAAGGTTAAGGGTTGGGTTATCCAACTTTTTTTCATATATATTCCATGTTGTTTGTCCCTTGTAAGATGAGTTGTTATGAACAAAAAAGACCACACATCACATGTCTTCCTTGTGTATATAGTATATAGTAATATACAGTATATACATGTAAGTATCATAACAATATATCGGTGATGGGTGTTTCCAGCTTCTGCCAACTCCCTTTTGGGCAATTTTATTTTCTGTGCTTCACTTTCGTATCATTGATTTTGTATCTTCTAGATGCCCAAATAAACACACTTATTATTATTATTATCATTGTTATTATTATTATTATCATTTGAGTGTGACAAACTAATGGATGAAGGGATTTTCTTAGATAGTTAAAGATGTTGTGGAAAACATCTTTAACAACAACTACGACTAGTTAAATGTTTCGGTGGCATTGGTTCTCTATTTCTCTGTACTGTTACGTTTCCAGAGTGATGAATGATGAAATAATGTTGTTAATTAAAACCCATTACTTGTTACTAGTTAATTAGATCAATCACTTTCCATTTAGAAATCAACAATCACTATTCACCTGGTCCCTTTGAGTCTAAAACAATCATGATTCACCATCGTCTTCTGTTGTCCTATTTCCAACCAAATCCGTTGCTTGTAACAAAAGTTCAACAACAGTCAATAGTTATTGTTTTTTTTTCTATATTTCTTGTACACAAACAAAAAGTGAACAACAGGTAACACACCAAAGAAAATATTTTTTTTTTACCTCCCCACCCAACTCAAACAAACTCATACATTCACATCTTCATACTATTCACTACTAATCTGTAACTTATTAAAATGAACTGTTCTTTTAGTATAGTCCTCATTATCATCATCTTAATATTCCAAATTTAGCATTATCCAAAACTAAAACAAAAATAAACAGCAAAACAATCACAAAATTAAAATCCACAAAAATAAAACTAGGAACAGAAACCAGAAGGTAAAATACAATAACAATATTATTAATAAAAAGGAAGAAGAAAAAAAGATACATATACACACATACAGACACACCTACCCCTACACGTACATATATAAAAATTTTAAATAAAAATTCTCACCTTTCGCCCTCCGCGGGTGGTTATCCCTCTCTAAGCTCGGGTCCTCTACCAGAGGCCTGGGAGCTTGAGGGTTCTGCATAGTATCTTTGCTGTTCCTAGCACTGCACATTTCTGGACCGAGATGTCCAAGGTTGTTCCAGGGATCCGCTGTAACCACTCCTCTAGCTTCGGGGTCACTGCCCCGAGTGCACCGATCACCACGGGCACTACTGTCACCTTTACTCTCCAGGCCCTCTCCAGCTCGTCTCTGAGACCTTGGTATTTCTCAAGCTTTTCATGTTCCCTTTTCCGGATGTTACCATCGCTTGGAATTGCCACGTCCACCACCACGGCTGTCCTCTGCCCTTTGTCTACCACCACGATGTCAGGTTGGTTTGCCATTCGGTCGGTCTGTATCTGGAAGTCCCACAGGATCTTTGCACGCTCATTCTCCACCACCTTTGGATGAGTTTCCCACTTAGACCTTGGGGTTTCCAGCCCATACTCTGCACAGATGTTTCTGTACACTATGCCAGCCACTTGGTTATGGCGTTCCATGTAGGCCTTCCCTGCCAGCATCTTGCACCCTGCAGTTATGTGTTGGATCGTCTCAGGTGCCTCTTTGCACAGCCGACACCTTGGGTCTTGTCTGGTGTGGTATATCTGGGCCTCTATCGCTCTGGTGCTCAGGGCCTGTTCCTGTGCAGCCATGATGAGTGCCTCTGTGCTGTCCTGTAGGCCAGCCCTTTCTAGCCATTGGTAGGACTTCTTGAGATCAGCCACTTCTGTTATGCTCCGGTGGTACATGCCGTGTAGGGGCTTGTTCTCCCATGAGGGGCTCTCCTCCAGCACTTCGGGTGAATGCGCCTGCGCGGAGGGGGCTGCATGTCTGTTTGCTCGACCGTGTGTTTTTTAAACTTTTGTGTTTGGTTTGACATACTTCTCTCTACGTTGGCATAGATAGACTAATGTACTCAAGAGAGAAGTTACTGGCACTAAGAGACAATACCAAGACTACTTTATGCCATATGATTCCACTGGAGCTAAGGCGAAAGTACCGGGGCTGCCGTGCCGGTCGTAAACTGAAGGATAAAATCAAGGCTAATATTGCCAAACGGAGGATTTTTAAGCCACCCATTCCCTCTGTTGTCATGGGGAATGTTAATGCCCTGTCTAATAAGCTGGATGAACTTACCGCGCTGATCGGAAGCCAACGGGGCTACAGAGAGAGCAGCCTACTCATCTTCACTGAGACATGGCTAACTAGCCACGTACCCGACGCTAACGTAGACCTGCCCGGCTTTTCCACCTTGCGGGCAGACCGGGATCCTAGATCTAGCGGGAAAAGCAAAGGCGGGGGCCTTATCCTGTATGCGAACAAGCGGTGGTGCCATCCGAACCATCTGACTGTGAAATATGTGATATGCAGCCAGGACTTGGAGCTGCTAGCTGTTAGCCTCCGGCCGTATTATGTTCCACGTAAGTTTTCACACGTCATCGCGCTCTGTGTTTACATTCCTCCTAGGGCCGACGCAGAGACAGCACGTGAGTCCATACACAACAACATTGCGGCACTTAGTCCCAGCATCCAGAAGCATTTCTCCTCATATCTGGTGATTTTAACCATGTCACTTTGGACACTACTCTAGCCTCCTTCCATCAATATGTCAACTGTACCACAAGGAAAAATAGAACATTAGATCTGTTATATGCAAACACTAAGGATGCATACTCAGCTTCTCCCCTTCCTCCTCTGGGCAAATCCGACCATAACCTTGTCTACCTGCAGCCCACATACACCCCTGTGGTGAAGAGGCAAGTTGTAACAACTAGGCAAGTCAGGAGGTGGTCTTCTGAAGCTGAGGATGCACTCAGAGACTGTTTTTCCACCACAGACTGGAGTGTACTGGTGGGGTCACATGGTGAGGACATTGAGGGGGCAGTGGGGTGCCTGACTGATTATTTGAACTTTTGCATGGATCAGGTGTTACCTGTTAGAACAATCCAGTGCTTTGAGAACAATAAACCATGGATTACCTCTGAGGTGAAGAATGTTCTGAATAAGAAAAAGAGGGTTTTTGGAAGCGGGGATTGTGAGAAGATAAGAGAGGTACAGAGGGAAGTTAGAATCTGCCTGAGGGACGCTAAGGAGTCTTACAGAAGGAAGCTGGAGAGAAAGTTGAGAGATAACAACATGCGGGAGGTTTGGAGTGGAATGAAAACCATAACAGGCTGTGGCAGTAAGAGCAAGGTGGACTGTATGGATCTACAGAAAGTGGAGCAGCTGAATACATTTTTCAATCGTTTCAGTTCCTCCCAGACCACCTGCCTGCCCCCACAGCCCTTCCCTATTTCCTCTGATGATATTCATCACGCTGCTCATCCTCTTGCCTCTTTTACGCTCCCTCAGGTGCCTGTCACACACACCTCAACTCCTGTTACCATCACAGCAGACCAGGTGACGAGGCAGCTGCAACTCATACGCCCAAAGAAAGCTGCTGGTCCTGACAGGGTCTGTCCTAGGCTACTGAGAACGTGCGCTGCTGAGCTGGGAGACCCCCTACAGCAGGTCTTCAACCTAAGTTTGCGGCGCGGGAGAGTCCCTTCTCTATGGAAGACGTCTTGCATCGTCCCAGTCCCCAAGAAGGGACGCCCTCTGGTGCTTAATGACTATAGGCCAGTCGCTCTTACATCACATGTGATGAAAACTTTTGAGCGACTGGTCCTGCAGATCATGCGGCCCCAAGTGGAGACGACAAGGGATCCTCTTCAGTTCGCCTACCAGGAGAGGGTGGGGGTCGAGGATGCAGTCCTCTACCTGCTACATCGTGCCCTGGGTGTGGGAGGGTGCATTGTGAGGATGCTTTTCTTTGACTTCTCCAGTGCTTTTAATACCATCCATCCCATCCTTCTCCAGGAGAAGCTCACCATCATGGATGTGGACCCTCTTCTTGTGCGTTGGGTCACGGATTATTTAACCGACAGGCCCCAGTACGTGCGAGGGGGGGGCTGTAGGTCCTCAACAGTGACCTGTAGCACGGGTGTACCGCAGGGCACTGTGCTCTCGCCCCTCCTCTTCACCCTCTATACAACTGACTTCTGCTACAACTCTGAGACATGCCACATGCAGAAGTTCTCAGATGACACTGCAATCGTGGCATGCGTCAGGGGGGGTGATGAGGGGGAGTATAGAGGCTTGGTTGAGAACTTTGTGGAGTGGAGCCAGCAGAACAAGCTTCTTTTAAACTCAGCCAAAACTAAGGAGGTGGTGCTGGACTTTCGCCGGGCACCACCCTCTCTGCAGCCCATTATTATCGAGGGAACTGCTGTGGAAGTGGTTTCCACCTATAAGTACCTGGGGCTGCAGCTGGACAACAAGCTGAGCTGGGCAGCCAACATGGACGCTGTGTACAAGAAGGGGCAGAGTAGGATGTACTTTTTGAGGCGATTGGCATCTTTCAGGGTCTGTGATAAGATTCTCTACATGTTTTATCAGTCTGTTGTGTCTAGTGTCCTTTTCTATGCAGTTGTCTGTTGGGGGGGCAGTGCACGAAAGAGGGACACTGAGAGGCTGAACCGGCTCATTAGAAAGGCGGGCTCTGTGGTGGGTCTGGGTCTGGATTCAGTGGAGGAGGTGGTAGAGCAAAGAACGCTCTCCAAAATCAGGGTGATCTTGTCCAACCAGAGCCACCCACTGAATTCATTTTTTTCCCGCCAGAGAAGCACCATGAGCTCCAGACTCCTCTCTCTGAGGTGCTCCAGGGACAGACTAAAAAACTCTTTTGTCCCCAACGCCATCAGGCTCTATAACAA